TATATATATATATATATATATAACCTTATATAATATTAATACAAGTTTAGATTGCTATCAAGCTCCTCCAAATTTATCCGTGTATTAAATACTAAAAAGAGGGAAGTGTTAAGTCTAACGTTTATTTTAAATTATTTATCGCTACTAAATCTTTTAGAACCTACTAATTTAATAATGCATCAAGCTTTGTGTTTATTCACTTCGTCCCCATTTGGATGGGTAATACAGATAATTAAAAATGGTGATATTCAAAAAAAATTGCAAAGGCTATTTTAGCTGAAGATACGAACGGGTGCAAAATATTAGTTTTTTATTATAAAAATAAGATAATAGAATAATGAGCAAGCGCTTTGAGTCGTTTTGCCATAGAACTTGCTAACTTATACTATGATGCAGCAATAAAGAGACTAAAAACATTAATATAACTTTGTTACATCGATAGATTCTTCGTTAGCTCTTGAAATACGCCTAGACACTTAATTTATTTTGTGCTGCAAAAATATCTTGGCGTAGCACCAATTTTGTAGAATATTTTTTTCTTATTTTCATTGCTAAGTAGGTATTCAGGACAATCCTTAGAGCATGAATAAGAACTGTATTCCATCTATTTCATCTAAGATGGTAAAAAACTAATTTTTGTAGATTCTAGTGAGTAGACCTCATTTTTCCAGTAAACCTGACATAGTGTTTTCCAAAAAGGGTTTTTCTCCCAGGCTAAACTATATTATCGGCCTTGCCTAGGTTCCATCTGCAACTCCAACATAAATCAAATCCAGATAATTTTGAGTATAGTCTCGACGCTTTAACCAATAAGCTAGGTCGCCACAAGTGCCCTTGGTTAAGAGCTCATAAATGAATTTAATCGAAGTGGAGGTCTTTCTCATATTACTTTACTGGTGGAATGGTTGAATTTGCCAATACACTGCATGAGCTCCACTTATTGTCTGTGATCCCAGGGTAATCGTGGCAATGTAGCGTAGCGGCTAGCGTGTTGAGACTATATTATACATTATCCTGGTTCAGGTCCTGCTTTGAGTTCTGATCAATTCTGGTCAAGTTTGGAACGGAACTCTAGCCTGGATGCGAATACCTTTTTGGATACAGGACTTAGTCATAGTATTGCGAGAAAATGTAGCTGCCCTTCCTTCATCGTCTATAGCGAAATACAGTTACTTCAACTTATAATAAATATATTTTCTGTTGTCCAATTTGTATTATATTTAGTTAGTCCCATGTAAAATATGATTTCTTCTACCCCAGACCTAGTTTCAAGCGGATTTAACATTGACAAGTTACTGGTAGATGGCTACATCACTTTGCACCTCCGTTTCCCAAATTATCTTTTATTTGCTATTCTTTGAGTCAGTGCTTCGTAAAATGCTATTAATTATTATAAGATGGGTTAAAACTCTTCGTTTTTGTTCAGGCATGATAACAATCCAAACAGACTACTATTCTATTTTTATCGATACGTAATGATTTCATTCTCATATAGTGTTGTTCAGCCATGTCAAAACTTATATGGATAAAAGTTGTGAATATAGAAGCCCCATAAATCAAAATTGTTGAGCGTCTTTCAATTGCAATCAAATGTCTGTGAGGAGGAAACTTGAAGGTTGAATCCTTTCGAAGACATTGTATGACTCTCCTTGGCCAACTATTTTTTGACTTTAATCAAACATTCTGAAAGTTACGGTCTTCGAGACTGTCTGCATCGGTTAAGGTTCGAAGCGTACTGACGCTTCTTCTATAAAAAGACTGAGCAGCGCATACATGCATAAAGGTGACCAAAACATTTCTGATTAAGCACTTACACTTGAAATAGAAGTGAGCCAAAAATGTTAATTCAGCTTAAAGAATGAGCAGACTAATGCCATTTAAATAGAGTTTGGGATCCTCAATGTTGTGACCCTTTCATGGCTTCTTACATGTCTTCAGGCTTTTAACTATACCTCCCTTTTTATCGCATTCACGCCCCTCAGGACTACATGGGTCCATTGCACGAGTCTGGCAGGATGGATTTGGATTTCAAGAACCAACTGACACTAACCGATCCCCATGGTCTGCGGCTTACTCAGGAGGCCGGAGAATGGGTCTCGGTGTACCAAGCCTCCGCCACTGAGCTGGAGACATGTAATAAGGGGCTGTACACTGCTCGATTTCTTGCCGGCACTTTTGGTCTCTTCACAGCATTAGTCGTGATCGGACTGATCGGCTTGTTTCTGTTTTATCGAATCCGTACTCGCCTCCAGAATATACAGGAGCGATAAAGGATAAAGAATTTGTGTAAAAATTCACACAAAATAGAACAATATAACAGTTAACGTAAGTAAAGGTTTAAGGAAGGATGTAGGGATCTTGAATTTGGTGTCCTGACGAGTATGAATTCCTGGAAAAACTAAGTGATCATGATTATCATTACATTCATGTAAAATACTTTATTTATATTGCCAGAGAAATAGTCTGGGTGACAACACAGATTGATGCCTTTATGCATTAGTCTATTCATTTACAACCCCCCTCGAAATAGTAACTCTTCACATTCTTGCACGTTCAATATAGGAAAATATTTTTTGAAAAGGAATAAATAAAAATACTTAACTTTAATAGGGAAATAATATGTGACGAGTCGTTCATTATTATTCATATCGTATTGTAATTTATATCGTATTTTCATGTTATTTACTTACGGATGAAAGCTTTTAATAAAGTAATTCAAGTAACTATCACATTTTTATCTTCGTTGACAGTTTTTATGCCATGGCCACGCTACTATAAGACATTTAACATAATAATAATAAAATCAAGAAAACTAATGAGTATATATAGTATAAGCATAAAGTAACTTTTTACATTTATTAGTTTATGCATTTTTAAATTTAAGGATATTAAGTAAATAGCTTTACTAAACTAACTTATTTAACTAATAAATAAGAACGACTTATTTGGAATTGAGAAAAATAATAAATAGAAAATTTCCATGGCATTTAATCTCAAGTATGAGGTCAAGAATGGTATGACCTTTAGCAGGATATAGGAAGGAATTTAGGAAGAATATTTTAAAACGAATCTAGCCAGGGTTCTCTCTTCAAAGGATTTTCAAAAGCTCCACGATATAACGGACCAGAAGTTAAATAGGCATGACATGAAATCGCTTAGATATGGAATAATGAAGCGGAGCTGGGTTCAACCAACCCGACGAAATTAAGATATTTTTGTACTGGCGGAATCAACTCCTCCAAACGAAGATGGGGATAAGGTAGTGAACATATCATCAGTGCGTCTTGATTCTAAAACCATGGATATCATGAAGAGGGGGTTAAATTTTTCCATAGAAAACGAACGAAATTTTCCATAAGATATTCATTTAGAGATTGTCAACACATCTGATTATTAGCATGAAGAGGCAAAGCAAGTAATGTAAATGAAAATAATTCAAGAAGAAATAAAAAGAATTGAATTGACCAAATAGTTATTCAGGAGGATAATGGAGGAAACATGGTAGTAATAGACAGGAAAGTGTACACTAAAAAAATGGAAAATATCATAGACAAAATGAATACTTATCAATTAGTAAGGAAAGATCAACAAGATAATATATGCTATAGGAAATGTTTAACAATGGAAAAATTGACAGATGAATGATAAATTCTTTAATTAAACATGATATAAGGCCATCAAAATTGTATGGATTTTCTCAAAGGATCCAAAAAATTTAGAATGGTGGTTGTGAATTTTTTATGTAGAATCCATGTACACAAATATTTCTGACGAGAAGGCGGTATACGTTCAGGTGGTGATCTTGGAAAGGAAAAAGGGTATTCTAGAATCAGAGCGGATACAGAAGGAGTCGTTAACATGACTTATCAACTTGACAGTAAGTACTATCTATTTCACAATCAACGGCAATAACTATGAGCAAATATATGCCGATAGGACCTATATTCTCACCTCTTCTGGCAAATGTATGAATAGACAAATTGGAAAAGGACGTCAAGTAGTCCCCGCTGCAACCAAGCTTATTTATGCAATGCCTGGATGACTACCTTGCACTGTGGTTTCATAGTAAGATAAACTTGAATGAATTCCTCAACTTTATAAGCCAAATTCATGAAATAATTAAATTTACAATGGAGGTTGAGGAGAATGTGTGACTACCTCTCCAAGAATTTTAGGCCATTCGCTCCAATTGGGCACTCAAGAGGAGAATATTCTGGAGAATATTTCTTGTCTATCGACTGAAACTAGGAATAATGAAGAGTTTGATCATCAGAAAGGTAGGATTAACAGATACTGAATTCTGGGACGACATTTTGGACAAAGTGACTAGGACTTTTCTTACTAACGGGCACCCAAGAAGGAAAAAAATAGAAGGGTCATAAAGAGCAGATTTCAACTTGGATTTTATGAAAATAAGATTAAGGATGGGGCGGACATTCAAAAAGGGATATGCCTGCCCTCCTGTAAACTGAGTCAAAAATTTCGTTTGTTACTGATAAAAAGGAATATCCAGCTGATCACGAAGGATAAAGTATCACTATTTATCCTCCTGCCGATGTGACATGCGAAGGTTGACGAACTCGATTACTCTAGAGTTTATCGCATCAAATGCGACAGCTGTGGGCAGAAGTATGTTAGTGACACAGTGAGAACTAGGTTTAGTTAAACAAGTAAAAAATTGTGATAGTGAAGGCGTGATACGAGAATGTAGGATAGGTGAAGAGCCCAGGACAGAAGAAGAGATACCGCAACTGTTTAGCACACATTTGGTCAAAGAATCAATTTCACTTGTCTCTTGACGAGTTGTAGTGTGATGCTAAGAATGACAAGGCTCACTGAAGATGCCTACTACAATGCCGGCGAAACGTCTGGAAATGTACCAAATCCATGACCCAACTGTTGAAATTGCTAGGGGTATAATGGCATCCAGGAAAGGTTTTTTTTAAATTTATATCTTCCTTTAAATGCGACCAAGTTGCGAAAATAAGTTCGAGGAACTCCTGTATTTTATTGAAGATATGAAGACCAAGATTTTGTGGCCTCTGGTATGGTCGCAGTCTCCTATCGATTTATAGAAGTGGGTTGACCTCGTTGTCGCAACTTGGTCTTGTGATCAGGGAGACTATGTAGAACACAT